CTACAGTGTAGCTCACTATAGTTTGGAAGACTGGCCAGGTAACCTGGGACTTGCCCAGTTTGGTATTTGGTGATGGTGAGGGGCATCCTCAAGGTCCAGCTCTTCCTTCAAATGGTTGCTCATTTTTACCTGGACTTGGTTCCTTTGTAGGCAAGCACATATGGCCATTGTTTTCATAGCTGATCAGTCAAAAGGAAGTAACTAAATCATGGGTGAAAATAATATTTTCCATATGGCATAAATTTACAGAGAAAATGTACTGGAATATCAAACTTAACCTGATGTATTTTAATCAAGAAATGGAAGATGACTATTTATTTGGAAATCCTGAGAAAATAATGATTTAAAATGATTGTTCTGTTATTTAAAAAGTGGGTTGAGTTCAAGTGCTGTTGTTCCAGTAGTTTGGGTATGTCATGTGGTCATTGAAGAAACATGATGTTTAAGAGAACTCACATTATTTTAGAGTTTTGATTTGTCTCATACATTAAAGTGATACCTTGAATTTGGAACATACTGCCACTATAACAATAAGTATTAAACTTAGCTTTGGTGAGCTAAGTTTGGTAAATTGTTTATTTAGATGGAATTGAGATGGAGCCACAGTTTTCCAGGACTTAATTCAGAAAGGTGGTAATTCAGTTTGAGCATATACAAGTCATATTTCCTGGATATGTCTGCTTTCCTGCATACTGGACATGAACTAGATCCTCTTGGATTGTAACCCAGCATTTCCCAACCTTGTTCTTTCCAGAAGTTTTAGACTAAAATTCCCAGCATTCCTTGCTATTGGTCATGCTTGCTGGAGCTGATGAGAAATGAAGTCCAAAACAACTGGGGGATAACAAGTTTGCGAAGACTATTCTACAGTATAGCAAGTTGTCCTGTGAAATAGTAGATAAATTTCACTTTGAAGTCCACATTTATGTCTGGAAAGAACACAGTATCAGATGATCTAAGTATTAAAATTTAATTAATAGGGATCTGTTGAAAACATGGTAGATGTAAATAATCTGAAGAGATGGGAGTAAGTAATCCATTTTAATTAGAAGGTTTTATTGTTAATGCAGTTGTACATTTGTAGACGGCAACTCATATTTTACAATTACATCACACAATAGCTTTGCCTTAAATCCCAGCTCATGTAATATTACAGTCATAAATGACTCAATATAATCCGGTGAGTGCTGATCAGCTATGAATGTGATTTTCCCTCTCATTAATTATGTGCCACTTTTGAACCTTCTTGTTAAATTTAGTGAAACAAAAATTGTGAACAAAATTATTGCCAAAAATCAGTTAACGGATATTTACTTTATTTAATTGGGCACAATCCTTCCTGGGATAGATCTTGTGCAGCTTGACTTGGCAGATGAGGATGAAGGAAATGCATAGAAACTTCCAGGTTCAGGGTCCTATAAATCCCATAGGAATCGCTTCCATTGCACATGAGTACTGTGCTTCCATAGACACTTAGGAATCCCATGATGTTTCTTTTGATTTGCAGTAATGCCAAAGGAATAGATGGAGATGGTAGTGATGATGGCAATGATCATGTTAATTAATAGCATATGTTAAATTCAATATATTTTCCAGGCTGCAATCCTATACAGCCTCACTTGCAATAAGTCCCACTGAACACAATAGTATGTTCTTCTGCATGCATGATAATTACACTGTTAATTATTCCAAAAGAATCCTTGAGGTCCCTGCTTTGTTACAACTTTATGAAGGTGAGATTACACATGATTTATTGAGAGAGAAGAAAAAGGGCACTATTTGCCACTTTTAGGTTGCTATATCTTCTTTGTCGTGTCTGACCCATCGCGACCCCATGGACAACATTCCTCCAGGCCTTCCTGTCCTCCACCATCCCCCGGTGTCCACTTAAGCTCACGTTGACTGCTTCCATGACTCCATGTAGCCACCTCATCCTCTGCCGTCCCCTTTTTCTTTTGCTGTCAATTGTTCCCAGCATTAGGCTCTTCTCCAAGAAGTCCTTCCTTCTCATTAGGTGGCCAAAGTATTTGAGTTTCATCTTCAGCATCCGGCCTTCTAAAGAGCAGTCAGGGTTGATCTCCTCTAGGACTGACCACCTTGCAGTCCAAGGGACTCGCAGGAGTCTCCTCCAGCACCACAATTCAAAGGCCTCAATCCTTTTGTGCTCAGCCTTCCTTATGGTCCAGCTTTCACAGCCATACATTGCACTGGGAAAACCATAGCCTTGACTATGTGCAGTTTTGTTGGCAGGGTGATGTCTCTGCTTTTTAGTATGCTGTCTAGATTTGCCATAGCTTACTCCCCAGAAGCAAGCGTCTTTTAATTGGCTGCAGTCCCCGTCTGTGGTGATCTTGGAGCCCAGGAAAATAAAATCTGTCACTACCTCCATTTCTTCCCCATCTATTTGCCAGGAAGTGAGAGGACCAGATGCCATGATCTTAGTTTTCTTAATGTTGAGTTTCAAGCCAACTTTTGCGCTCTCCTCTTTCACTCGCATCAAGAGGCTCTTTAGTTCCTCTTCACTTTCTGCCATTAGAGTGGTATCATCTGCATATCTGAGGTTGTTGATATTTCTCCCAGCAATCTTAATTCCAGCTTGTGATATCTTCTTTAAAATGTTCTATTCTTTCTATAGCATATGAATTGCCATAATGTCATTAGCAGTTGCCAAATTAGTCTGTTTCCAGTCCATGTCACTTCTGCACATAAGTAATGCATAAGTCCACTTTGTCCTATTTCTGCAGTAATCTGAATTTGGGCCAAGGGAATGAAAACATTAAAAAATCTAAAGATTCCCATTTTTTTCAAGCATCCCTAAATATTATCCAAAACAGCCATACGCAGGCTATTATCCTTATTTTTTTATATCACATCTGATTTCAGGCTATTGCAAAGTTGAATCCTTTTCAGTCTGTATGCTAGTCTGTTTAGAATATATTGGTCAAAAGGTTTTGCTCAGAAGATTAGAAAATCATTCAATTCAACAAAAATTCAATAGAAAGAAGAAAAAGTATTAGCTCAGGTAACAAAGACATCATTTGTAGAAATGAACCAGAAACTACTACCTGGATTGAAATTGGGAAGCAAAAATAGATTAATTTTTAATTAATGAAGCAAAGGAAGATGTTCAGAAAAAAAAAGGAAAGGCAGAAGGAAAGAAGGTCAGAGTCCTTGAGCAAAGAAAAGTGGCTGGAGGAAAAGGCCCAGTAGTGATAAGATATTTTTTTGGCAGGGCCATGAATAAAATAGGGACACATTCCAGTTAATTAATTATTATTAATTAATTAATTCATTATATATATATTTCCCTCAGCAAATTGCTCTCATAACAGGCTAGCTGAATGCATTTTTCTTTGGTTATTTGCTTTCTTTGCTTACACACTATGTGTGTCCAGGCATGTGTGTGTATCCACTGAGATTTAAAACTTGCCATTGATGTTTTTCTTCTGTAAAATTCATTTTTTTTATTTGAAATATTGTGCTCCCTGGAAAGAAGGTTACTTATAATCCTTGCACTACCTAAAGCAGATCCTTAAAACCTATAGAACTTTGAGCCAGACTTGGTGTAGAAAGACAGAGAAATAGGATTTCCACTTGGTTGCAACAGAAAGACACAGGGAGGAAATATGAAAAATGAGTACTACTTTGGTAGTTTTCACTTGGACTCATGGAACAGAGAGTTGGCTGTCCATGATCAATGAATTATTTCAATTAAGAATAAGTGCATCCAGTTAATAAAATACATTATTTCACTAAGTTTACATTAATTTATCTTGGATTATGTAATGTTCTACTGTTCTGACTTTGAGTAGATGGACTTTTGACTGCTTCTACAGGTATGATACATGCACATATTTTACAAATAGAATGCAACGTCCATAGCCTGTGGCAGAGAAAGGGTGGATACTGTGGCAAAGGAGAATGATATTCACAGGAGATCCCCAGCTGTGGATGAACTCTGTATGACCAGTTCATGATACTAACTTAACTTGATGCATCTTGCATTTTTTGAAGAACATTGCTTTGCATAAGATGACAATGTGTACTGAAAGTTGTCAGAAGCAACCTTACCTCATCCTTGATTCTATAGTCATATAAAACACCTAATTGTGTGACAATGGTCTGCCTGGATATGGAAAGTTAAGGCAAAATCAACCCTCCAATGAGTCCAAGGGAACATACAAGGAAATATATGAACCACAGATTAACCACTTCATGCTTTTCTGAGGACCCTACTGCAGGTTTTCTCAGTTTGGAAAGTGAGAACACGAGATGGGCAAACTTTCTATATTTTGATTTAGAATAAGCTTAGAATTTTTTCTTTGTTCTCTTTTCTTTTGAGAAATGTCTTCTGGAACTCATAAATTATCCTCTGGATTTTTCATTTTCCCTAGCTTTCCCTCAATCAGGTTTCCCTCTTCAATATTCAGATAAACACAGATGTTATGTGTTTAAATTCACATTTAAGGATTGTTTCTATAATTTGACTAGAAATAGAATATAGTTGAAGGAGTCAAAAGTTCATTTCTTCCAAATGTTTGAGGGAAAAGGTCTTTTTTTTGTTTTTGGCAGGGAAATTGAATTATGTTTACAAGGTGGTCTAAGGGCTATTCATCTCCTACCTTCTTTTTAATTATTTTATAACTCAAGCTGTGGTTTCACTATGTAGCATGATCACTGGAGCATGGCCACCACAGTCCTTAAAAAACGTAAAATAAACTCATGCAAAATACATGTAATGATTCAGGGGCAGTCTATTCAAACAGATGGCTGCCTAAAAGCCAAGCAGCAAATATGTCTGCATGAAATCAGTGCTATTGCATGATCTTGTTTTATGGTGGAAGTAACGGACTTTTGGAAATATGTAGGTAAGGTATTGGAAGGTGTTCTTCCAATTTGCCATGATATATAGGTATGGGCCTTGTGAGCACCGATTGCTTTAATTTTTATTGTTTAATAATTCATATTCAGTTTGTTGTGTTATGCTTTTCTCTGATCAGTGCCACCGGTCATAAGAGTCTTTCCTGAAAGCCAAGCAAGGGAGCCAGGGGTGACAGCTAGCCTTCGATGCCATGCTGAGGGTATCCCCAATCCAGTGCTTGGTTGGTTGAAGAATGGGATTGATATAACTCCAAAGTTATCCAAACAGTTAACTCTTCAAGGTAAGGAAACACATTTTAGTAATGTTTTAATGATTTTCTAAAGTCCTAGGCAGGTCTTTTTATTTGCACTATAAAGACTTCAGAGAACAATGTGAACCTTTATACTGCTGTAATTTATTTATCATAGCTTCAGGCAGAGCTTTAAGCAGCAGGTGTGATATGTTAACTCCATCACCTCATAAGTAAAACTGACAGTTTTGGGATCTACAAGTTACTCATTATGCTTGTCTTCAGCTCCCCTTAACATGCTGAAAGAATGCATCCAAGAACCTCATAGGAATTGCTACCGTTGTAATGGTCAAATGACATGTGAATAAAAATTGCCATGCTGCTGCTACTGCTGCTGGTTATGATAATTTCATTTCTCTACCAAAAGAATCTGACCCATTCACAACCATTCATAAACACAGGTGCAATAGTAAAAAAGGATGACAATAAAAGTGCAAATGCAATAAAATACACCATAAAACTCAAATATAAAAAATTAAACAGGTTAAAACAGTAAAACAATTTCAATAAAAGCTAGACCTGTTATAACAATGGACATGTCCTGTTAAACATTTGGAAGCAGAGGGTAATCTTAACCTGGAACTAAAGAGATAACAGTGTTGTTGCGGGGCAGGTCTCATTGGAAAGATTATTCTGTACAGTCTTCAGGAACAGCCCCAGGTAAAGTTCATTGTGTCATCTAATTCACAGATGAGCATAGTATATACTATCGTACTATTATTAAATAGTATATACTATTGTAATCAGGCTATTGCCTTTGGCCATAAGGTATAGGATATAGCCAAAGCTGTGGCCACCTGAGCCTCAAGTGAAAAATATGGATCAAGAAGAACCCCCTTTAAGAGCAGAGCAGCCCATCCAGAAAAGGTTGACTTACCTCCATCCAGTGAGGAGAACCACCCACTAACAGCATCTTAGTCTTGAGCTTCAGTTTACAGTTAACCACTCCACCGACACAGCCAGGCACTGATTTATCACAATCACAACATTCCCAATTGAGGATGAATACAAGAAATGGAAACAATGATGGCAACACACTCCAAAACCCCAAATGACTCCTTCAGTGGTTCACGTAGATACCAAATAACATGAGGTATGAGATGAAATCCTGAAGAACATCATTTGGGAGAATCCATGGGACCAAACCAAGCAATGTTCCCTATGCGCCATCTGCCATTCAATTTCTGGGAATATGCTCTCATTTTTATGGGGAAAAATACCCATAATTAAGAAAATCACAGCAGTTGAGTATGCAGTGGAAATGAATGTAGAACTAGGCTTCTGCATGAGAATAGGCAGGTCACAGAGTCATCTATCAGGACTAGACATGGGGTTAGTTCATCTTGGTCTGGCCAAGGGAGCTGGAGTTTTAAGATCAAACATATTCCAGCCTGTTACCACATTTAAAAAAAATGTGTTTTAGAATTGTTTCCATTTTTTCTTTAAAACTAATTCCAATTTTCTACAAAAATCTGTATACTTTTTCTGTAACGTATGCAACATATGTATTTTTAAAAGCACATATTTTACAGGGACACACGCACCCATTGGTTATAGTAAGATTCTCTGCATTTTACTTTGCTCATTTTTGTCAAATGAATGTTTGTGAATGTTGTTCAATCCTTTTTTTCCTTTTGTTTTGCAACTGCTACTGACTACAAATTGTGTTCAGGTTCATAAGGTGTGAGTTCGGTAAATCTGTTGAAACAGCAAGACAAGAACAAAAACCAGACAAACTAGATGGAGTGAATTTTTCTCACACATCCCTAAATAGAACATATTCCCAAATTTCTTGCCTGGGGCCCACCAGTGAGCCTTAACTGTGCGTCCTACATATGTCCATGGATAGTATTAGAGATGAGAATAGTTCATTTCTGCACTGAAATGTACCTTGGTAATAAAGGAAGGGCCGAGCAGGCTTTCCTCTAACAGGCCCCACACCCAGACGAAAAATTACGTGAGTGTATGTTTTAATCCCTGGAGAGCTATGCCCTGTTTTGCTGGCTCAGGTTATGAATAATACTTTCACCCATTTTCAAGAACTACACTAACTTTATCTATGCAGGTGCATTCAGCAGGTATAGAATGTTTACCTGTTATTTAATAGAATCAATAGAAGCTTTTTACACCAATTCTGCACCCACCACACTGGTTGCCCATGTATTTTTGGTGTTATGTGAAAAGTCAATGTGCTTCTTGTCATGTGCAAAGCACTAAATGAGTTCAGAGTGGCTTAGCTGGACAGCCATCTGCACCCAGACAAGGCTATCTGTCTAATTTATGAAAATCAGTTGCTGAGGCTTGGATTTCTTTCCCAGCAGTCAAATCTATCAGGCTAGTGAGCAGAAAAAAGAGTACATAGTAGAACTCCTAAACACAGGAAATCCATTTGGAATTTTCCTTTAAACCTTGGATTTTTTAAAGACTTGGCTTTTAAAATAGCTTTTCTGATCCATAATAAAGTAAAGCAAATCCTTCATTGGCTGTATTGTATACAGATTATATGCTGATCATATATATTAAACATGATATTTTGCATAGTTTTACCTGTGCTGGGTGGAGCATGCTGGAATTGTAGGACTTTCCTCTGTTTAATTGTACATAGTATTGTGCCTTAAATGGGTTGGACTAAGTAAAAAGCTACCTATTTAATCTTACAAACACAGGAGTACTGCTAAAATCATAACTCACATACTGCTTTCTTATTCTGTGTACAGCAAATGGCAGTGAAGTCCACATTAGCAATGTACGTTATGAAGATACAGGCGCATACACCTGTATTGCAAAGAATGAAGCAGGTGTGGATGAAGACATCTCTTCCCTTTTTGTGGAAGATTCTGCACGAAAGACCCGTATGTAGCATTTTTTTACATTCTCTGACAGCTAACAAAGCAAGATAATTTTTTGGAAGTGATGATAAATTTTAGTGAATCTATAGATAAGAACAAGTTTGATGGTTCTATAACATATTTTGGTAATTTTTTTGATAGGATGCTAGATTTCCATTAGATCAAATTCATATAGCTGCAAATCACTAATTTTCTCGAGGTATTTTCTAGAAAGATTGCTTGACATCTCCTCCACTGCTGCAGAAAATAATAGCTTCCCAAAAGTTCAGCTGGATTAAAAGAAGGGAGAGGTCTTTATTTCAGAGATAAAGATTGTGTACTTATTTTCCCTGGATCTTGTCTGCTCACATACACTCATTCACTTATTCACAGGCACATGCCAAACTGAACATTAGGGGTCTTTTGTAAGGTCAGCAAGACTGCTTGGCCAATTTAAAGAAATTTAAATACCAGTATGCATTTACACACTAGGTGGCTGTTAAAGCTGTTTGGAATTAGATTTGAAATCACTCTGGCTAGGATCCTAAGTTCAGTGAGAGATGCTATCTTAAAATAAGACTTCTGTACCTCTGTCCTGCCTGCACCTCTACTCTCTGAAAAGCTGCTCTTAATGGTTGGAGGACAATCCAAAATGATGTTTAGTATGACATAAGAGATTGGCAGAAATAATGCAGCCTCTGTTGAGTGAGTGAGTGAAGTTTCCATATTTATCAAAGCATACAGTACATTCTGAACAATGGACAAGTCTGATGTTCAAGATGAAAATGTAAAATGAAAAAGTTGGGGCCATTCAGTCATATGTTCAACTTTCTTATTTGAGAATATGCTGGAACATGGACTGCTTACAAAAAGGACTTCTTACAAAGGGAATGTTGATGGTTTCCTAGACTTAGCACAAATTGTATAACATAGTTTTTGATATGCATTCCCATTTATTGCATGCTATTAATAGAATCAAGTATTATATCAGACGTTAGCTTGCTTGCTTGCTTTATTTATTTAAAGCTTTTCTATGCCATCCTATTATTCAAAATCTCAGGACAGCTTATAATATTTAAAAGAACAATTAAAACAATCATTTCTAATAAATAATAGAAACAGAACCACACAATAAATCACAGAGCAAACAGAGCAACTGAACGTTAAAAGTTGTTAAATTTTAAAATACTGTTTAAATAAAAAGGTTTTGGCCTGGCACCGAAAAGAGTAAAAACTTGGCACCAGGCGTACCTCTCTGGAAGTGCATTCCAGAGTCTGGGCGCCACGGAAGAGAAGGCCATATTCTGAGTTGATAACCTTTTTACCTCTCTTAGAGAGGGTTCCCAGAGCAGGGCTTCTCTTGCAGATCTTAAGGGGTGTGAGGGCATATAAGGAAGGAGATGTTCCTTCAGGTATCCTGGTCCCAAGCTGTTCAGGGCTTTATAGGTCAAAACCAGCACCTTGAATTGGGCCTGGACTTCAACTGGAAGCCAGTGGAGCTGGTAGAGGACCAGCTTTATGTGAGAGTAATGGCCGGTCCCCGTCAGCAGCCAGGTAGCTCTATTCTGTTCTAGTTGCAGAATCTGGAAAATTTCCAAGGGCAGCCCCACGTAGAGCACGTTGCAGTAATCCAAGCAGGAAGTTACCAGAGCAGTTAAAGTTGCTTTAAGCTACTTTGTATGGACGGTAAGAATACTGTGAAAACTGCATTCTTCAGTGCTGTTTGTGCCCACTGAAAATTTCCACCACTTATGGTCAGAGTCTTGAGTACACCTCAATGACTTGGGAGTTTAATAGTGGACCAAGTCTTACTTTTCCCCCCCTTTTGTGAGAGGACAAAAACATTCAGGATTAGAAGACAGATTTCAACATGCATTGATCTAATATAGATTAAGGTCTATTCTCATTAAGTTTGAGTCTGCGCAATAATAATTCCTGTGCTTATTTCCAAATGTTTCACCAATAGCTCTGTCTAGTATTCCTCTTGCCTTCTTCTGCAACCCTTTTACAACTCTGACTTCCTTTCACCATTATACATTGTTCCTACATTTCAATGATATTCTGAGCATTGTTTTGGCTTGTTTTCAAATGCTGATAACCACTCAATTTTAGTGGCCAGTCTTTTTTTACAAGTTAGATAGAAACTAAATGTTTGGATCCTTCCCTGTATGTCATTTTTAATCACTAGCTAGTATGTGAAGGAATGGGAAAAAGCAACATTTTTTCCAAAATATGTTCACCTGGACATTTATCCTGATGAACAATGAATATTCATTGTATTTTACCCCAGTTTCTATCAAAAAAGGAAAGAGGTAATAGATACATGCATGGACGGATGCATGCATACATAAATAGATGAAAGACAGACAGACAGTTAGCATTCAAGGCAGCTAGAGTGACAGGTCCAAATCCTGCTTGAATCGTTTAGCAGCTTTTCAAAAATCACTATAGCTTGATCTCATTTTCTGTCATAACAACATATATGCTAACCTATCTCATATAGCTGTTCAGGCTGGATATAGTAAAGATAATGAAACTCTTAATTGACTTAAAAACACAATATAAACAATAAAGGAGCACTGAAGATGTATTAGGCATGTGAAAATGTCAGTTGTTAATACTATGAGCCTGATCGCTATAATTTAACATTTAGACAGCTAAAGAATTGATTAAGTTCTTGTTTATGTTTATGAAATAAACAGTATATCTGACTGTGTAAGGCATGCAGCAAGTATAGGCCATAAAAAGCAAGGCAGACAAAAATGTTTTACCTAAGACTGGAAAACAGCACAAAAGCTCAGGAAAAAAATGTACTTCTATCTCTCAGTGCCTAACATCCCATCTATCAAGCTAATTTGGAACATCACTAGCCAGCACACAAGAACATAAATCACTTCTAAGGACCTCCCTATGGTAGGTCTCTTTTAGTATAAAAGCTTTAGTGTAAAGCTCAGGCCTGATAATTCTAGTCTTTCCCTTGTCCCTAGGCTTTAGTTTGCACAAGAACTGAGCAGCCATTTGCTGTGAACTTTGGATTCAATTGATTGCTAGGGTTTATGTTGTAGAAATGACTGTTACAACCAAAGGATTAAAAACACAAATTGTAAATCTGAAGAGTTATACTGATTCAATCCGCCATTTACTTGAGCATGCCCATTAATTGTGCCAAGACTCTTAACTGCTTATTTACCCTGGTCTTATTGAGTCAGATGGCAGACATGCTGATTTGATTATACATTTGCAATACACAGTCCAGCCTATTTTAGGAGGCAATCCAGATAGTGTCATAGAAACCATAAAATATGGTAGCTCCCCACTACTTCCCATAAACACACTTGCAGGCTATGGATGTAGCTGTGACCATTTCTCCATTATCTGCTTCTCCCAACCACTGCAGAAAACCCCACATCAGTCCATTCCTGGTGATTCTTCAGTGACAATATGAAGGATGGGGAAAGAGAGGTGGGCAGGGTGGAAAAAGGATGTGGACCAAAGAATGTTCACGCCTGTCTTTGTCTCTGGGGCCAAGATCCAGCTAGACAAACTGAGACTTGGAGAATGAAGAGGCAAATATGTCCTCTTTGCTACTCTTGTCCTGCTAGCAACAGCCTGACAAGGCATGATAATCTTGGAAACCTCCATTCTTAAGAACTTTGAGTTTACTCTCATTTATTTCAGTGGAGAAACTGATGCACCCACTTCCAGTGAAATAAATGAGAGTTCAGAGTACTTAACTTTTGGTCATTTCCATGATGAGCACTAAAATGCATTTATTTATTATATTTATATCCCCCACTTTCCTTTAAGTAACTCAAGGCAGTTTATATAATCTGCTTCTCCTCTTAATCTTATCCTCCTAACAACACTGTGGGAGAGGTTATCATGTGAGTCTGTGACTGGCCCACACCCATTCTTTCAGATCCCAGTCCAATTCTCTACCCACTACACTACAATGGCTCTCATAAACACAATTTGATGTTTACACACACACACACACACACACACACAATACCTCATATATTTTCCAGTCAAAGAAAGTATCTCACTTTATTAGGGCCACCTAACAATTTTCGCAATGAATTCTCATGTCAGGATTTTCTTTCAGAGCGCCTACATTAATGATCTAGATCAGTGGTGGCGAACCTACAGCATGCGTGCCACACGGAAAGCCCTCTCTGTCAGCATGTGAATCAAGTTGCCCCAAAATTGCCCCAGCAGCCAAGCATCTGATAACAGCGCACATGGGCCCATGCGCATGCTCAGAAAGGAGTAGCGGCACCAGACAATGGCGTCATGAGCCGCAACTCATTAGCCACTGCTCATCCGAGCTTTCGCATGGCCAGTCATGCACTGCCAAGGTTATATATATTTTTTCAGGTTTTATTGCAGTGTTGGCACATTGCGATAAATAAGTGGGATTTGGATTGCAATTTGGGTACTTGATCTCTAAAAGGTTCACCATCACTGGGTTAGGGTTAGAAAAAACAACATTTAGAAAATGATGAGCTGTGCAGAAAAAGCTACTCAAGGAAGGCTTTTCCGAAACCGCCCTCTTTTTAATGGAACTTTAGCCCTATATTAGGTTTAGGGGTGTGCACCAGGGTAGGGTTTGGGTTAGAAAAGCGAGGTGTCCTGGAATGATTTTGATGATTGTAATGTGTTTGGAATGGGCAGAAATGCTGAATTGTGCAGAAAAAGCTACTCAAGGAAGGCTTTTCCAAAACCGCCCTCTTTTTAATGGAACTTTAGCCCTATATTAGGTTTAGGGGTGTGCACCAGGGTAGGGTTAGGGTTAGAAAAATGAGGTGTCCTTTTATGATGTTGATGGTTGGAATGTGTTTAAAAGGGGCAGAAATGATGAGCTGTGTAGAAAAAGCTACTCAAGGATGGCTTTTTTAAAATCTCCCCTTTCAATGGTATTTTACCCCTATATTAGTGCACCAGGGTAGGGTTAGGGCAGTGATGGTGAACCTATGGCATGTGTGCCACAGCGGGCACACAGAGCCCTCTCTGTCAGCAGCCAA